TGTCTGTCTGTCTGTCTGTCTGTCTGTCTGTCTGTCTGTCTGTCTGTCTGTCTGTTTGTCTGTCTCTTTACTTAAGCTTAAACTGTCTCTCTGTTTCTATCTTTCTCTCCGTTTCTCTGTCCCTCTTTCTCTGTCTGTCTGTCTCTCCTCTCTCTTTTCCTCCCTCATTCTCTCTCTCACAGTGCACCAACAGCTGAATTTTAGTTGCAACAGGGGGGGGGGGTTCCCGGCCCAGCACCTTATCGCGTCGGGGTCATGGGGGTCAGCTCCCTGTCACTGCTTGGGCTGGGCTGACTTAATCTTTTATTTATGTGGCAATTATCATTTAATGCACCCAAAGCCTGCATTTCTGCTCTTGAGACTCAAAAAAACCCCTGACTCCTTAACTTGTCTAGTTATTTCGTAAGAGGCGCTGAAGTTGGCAATTCTAAATTGTGAATTTGTTTGGGCAAGTGTGGGTGAAAAAAATCAGTATATAAAAAAACAACCGGCTAGACAAAAATTGTTGAACTTTTGGATCATGAACGATATACCACAGATGGAGAGGAGATACTCACAAAACATCTTATCTGCGCAGATGATAGAAAGCTGTATTTATTTCTGCACCATATCACTTTCCACACACGCAGTGCGGCGAGCACGCAATACTTCTCCCCACGGACCAGGATACAGATGCGGTACACGCTGTATTACACCGTCGCCGACCGGCGTCCCGTTCTGAAAGTTCTGAAAAGGGATGGCTTCTTACCGTCGCCGATCGGTGTCTCGTGGGGGCATAGTGTTAACCCTATCCGTACGCCCTGGGGTCATTTTGTACCCTCGGGGTTGTATTCTTCACATTTCAGAATACTTCTAGTGTGGAGATCTCTTTGAAACTTTCAGTATTTCTCAAAAAAACATTTTGACAGACTGCTATGCAAAGCGTACGGATCGGATGTACGAGTAAATTTCCACTTTGGAAAGCAGTGGCACAGAGTTCCCCCCGTCGTATGGATACAGTAGTAAAACACGACGTACGGAAAGGGCTTATAATGTACCGTGGGTGGTTGGCGGTTGCTCTGGTGTGGTTTGCTTCTTCTTTCCAATGAAACGTCTGTCGTCCTTATCTCCCTTTCTTCTTTTTTACGTTTGTTACTCTCTTGTAACACTTCTAATCTTCTGGCGCTCATATGACCTTAGGCAGTTGCGAGCGCCGTAAAATCCTCTACTATAATAATAAATAAAAATAATGTACCAATTTTATTTGTCCCGTACAATCATGAATGTCTCAAAAATTAATTACAGTAATGTTGAATCACAGCGACAAAATGATCATTATTGCTTTGACGTGCCTTTCCAATCAAACTAACAAACAATTTCTCTCGTTCCTCCTGGCAGGAAAGAAGGGAGGAGCCCTGTCGTCCACCATTTTCTCCTACACTCACCACGGAGACACCAGCGTGAAGACTCTGATAACACATGTACTCACCTACGTCAGTCAGCCTATCTATGCCACGCTCTTACGGTGGATGTACGACGGAGAACTGGATGATACATACCATGAGGTGAGGGAGGGGGGGG